AAAAAAAAAAAAAAAGTTTTTTCATTGTAAAATTGAAGTTGAATTTTTATGAAAAATGCAACTAAGCGAAATAGTTTATTGCACTTTTACAGGTAGTCAACGAAAGCGATATTTTACGTCGTCGAATGGAAATTATTGAGCAAGGCACTGAACTATCCAACACTCTTCCACAATTGTCAAATTTAATTACTTCGAAGTAAGTAAAATTAATGTTTGTTCGTTGGAAGTTGAAATTTTTAAAATTAGTTTATTAAAGTTCAAAAATTTTCAATTATAATAATCCATTGAAATTTCTATTACAAATGTTGTTTGTAATGAAATTGAAAGAAATTTTTGTGAACTTTTAATATCATTTGAATTATTTTTCATATTTTTCCATGTAAAGATTGTATTTGATGAAAATTATGATTTCAAAATTAACCAATTATGATTTCAAAATTTGATGAAAAAAAAATTATGATTTCAAAATTTCAAAATTAATTTTAAATCTGTCTTTTTTTTGTTCTAAAAAAATAAAATTGAAATTTTTTATCATTAACTTACTATCAGTCACATTTAAAATTCACGGTTGAGATTTCACTAAGATTAACATTTTTAAATTATACAATGAGAAATAATCCATCCAATTTTTTGACAATATAGAAGTACAAAAATGATAATTTAGGAATTACAAATATTGGTAGAAATAATGCTGCTTGCACGGACCACTTTTTGACAGTAACTGTTGTTGTATTCATCGTTCACATATAAAAATGTGCTATAACTGTAACAGAGAAAATTTTAATTTGCAAATTACGACATGTAATATGACAAAAATTTCAAATTATAATTTGTGATATGATTATGGCAAAATTTTCAAACTGAAATTTTATCATTTTGTCATATCATTTTGACATATCATCTTTGTCATATCAACTATCGTTTTTCAGAGAATTCCGAGAAATTTTCTATTTTTTTTTTCGGATTCCGAAAAAATTTCTAAATTTCTCTTTGTAGGATATTTTCAGAAATGAAAAACTGACGGATTTATTGATGAAAACGGAACAAAATAATTCCATTATATTCATTCTACTATTTATCTAACCAAAATAAGAAAATTTCGTAATCCTCTTCATAAATTTTTGCAATTAATTATGTATCGCTAATTATTACTTTATGCAATCAATTCTTTCTTCCCTAAATGATTTTTCGAAATTTTTTTTTTCTTACAAGTAACAGCAATGTATAGTCATGAAAATTGTATTTGAAGAAAATAATTTACTAAATTCCATAATTAAAGCATTTAATATTCAAAACTTAGCATTACGAATGAAATTCAAATATAAGATTTTAAAATAAATAAATGATATTTTAACAGTTCTTTATTAATATCACTGAATTGATAAATTTATATCTTTTTATAAATTAAAATATTGATGAATTAGTTAGTTAATCTATTGCGATGAAATTAATCAATTCTATACCATCGTATTTCAATAATCCTGATAACAAAATTTAATAATTTTTAGTATTAAACATTTTCCCATATAACTTTATCTTTCGTAATCAACTTCAAACTTATCTCATTTATCATTTATTATTAAATCCTTACCAGTACTATTTTTATTTTTGTTAATCGAAATAAGCAACTAGCTTGAATCTGATGAGTTAATTTTTTTGAAATGAATTGTTACATATCTTCATTTCTATTAATTGTGAATATACTACCTGATAGTATAATAGCTCCATCTTCTCTGATGGAATTAATAAAAAAAATTTATGTTTCAACAAATTTTAAATATTTATTAGTTTTATTTTTATGAAATTTTGTCAAATAAGAGAAACAATTCAGTTAAAATCGCTCTGTTAAATAAACAGCATGTATAATAATTTTGCAGCAAAAAAATTAAAATATGAATCCATAATTGTTTCCATTATTTTACAAAAGCTTTTAGAAATAAAACTAATAACAAATGTTTTAAAATAAACCATTTTATTATTAGCACTAATTTTAATTAATTTGAAATTCTTTTTAAAATTGACCAATTAATACAACAATAACGACATTAATTTAAAAGTTATGTTTGATCTTTTATAAAAATAGTCTTCATAAGCGGGAAAACGGAGGAGAATTAAAAAAATTTCAGCTAAATTGAATGATGAAATTAGTCTTCTTTCGTGGAAATAAATAGCGGAAATTGGGTAGCATGTAAATTCTGGAAGATTCAAACTCTTTTTAAAATTTAATATTTTAAATAAAACATTCTTGTAGTAAATTTTAAATTTCCATTTAGACTATTTCATTGCAATATCATATATGTCTTTCATTGATTATGCCACTGATCCGATAGCTTAAACGTTAAAGTTTATCTCACTAATCATCACATACAATTCATTTTAATTGACATTTTAAATGTTTTACGTGATATTAAAAGTATTAAAGTGATAAAATGATTGCAATATTTATCGTTCTATCAAAAATAATTTGCTTACCGTGCCGTTGTTTATCGTATTTATTTTCAATTTGTTAGTTAAAATAAGCTTACAGATTATTTTCCATCATTTCTTCAGTTCCGCTTCTAATTGTTCCACATAATTCATATTTCAGGAATCGTTAACGTTCCGCATCCTTTTGTTTTACATAATTTGTACATCATCATGAATTTATGATTTCACTTTTTGAATTTATACATATATTTTTGTTTATCATAAGCATAAATTTAGGCTTGAATCATGCTATCAACTTGATAAGTAGTACTTCACTTTTTTTAATGTTCAATTTCTTTATCAATTTAGCATTTTGTTCTTTGCGTAATATTCATCAATTGTAATCTTGATCAGTAAAAAAAAAAAATCTAATTCTTTTTAGTATAGTAATAAAATCTAGTTTTTTTTTTTTTTATGAGTTATATTAATAATAAAGATTTTTGACAACTATTGGCCGGTAATAAAATTATGGAAAAGCCTTGTTTCGGTTTTAAAAAATCAAATTTTGAAAATATTTATATGAGTGCTTCATATTTTGGATGAGTGCAACATATCAGTGGAATTAAAAGTACATGAAAAAGGATTTTGAAAAGGAAATTTATGGCTAATACCTTTGTTCCCAGTATTTTAATCTATAATATTAGACAATTTATTGAAGTGAGAAAATTTAATATTTTAATCGTCAACTTCAAAAAAAAAAAATGGTTTCAATTTTAGAATCATAAATGCAAAAATTGAAATGATATAAATTTCAGATTAAGTACAATTAACCGTGCTATGGAACATCTGAAATTGAATCGGCGATCTTCCGTAGAAAACGCTGAAAACGCTGCTAAAGGTTAAATTTAATCTGTTATAATTTAAATTCTACTCTTAATATTATCATCTTTCTTTTTTTGCTCTTTGCATTTGATGCATACGGGAGAGTATGACCTCTGAATATGATTAAAACGGAATCAATTTTTATGATGCTTAATGGAGGAAAAGAAACGAAAATTTTGATTTTAAGATATCCAAAAAAAAAATGATAAGGATGACTGAGTAATAGGTGGTAATGAAAGAATGATAATGATGATAATTTAATGCTGGAATATACGGATAAACTGAAGAACAGATCGATTAAACATGAAGTATCATTTTAAACTTTAATTTAGCATTAATTTCAGAAGATGATGAACCAACAGCAGTATCAGAGCTTCGAAAATGGCTTCAAATGATGGGTGAAAAGCTTTCCGTAATGGAAAATAAATTTACGAAAGCTACACTTGCCCGCAAAGAACTGGATCGTTTGGCTGCCGACCAACAGGTTACGGTTTTTCTTTTGTCCTTTTTTTTTTTTTTTCTCATTGAATAAATCTGAAAAAGACAGTCCATATATTTCTTCGTTTTGAAATAATTAATTTGTTCTTTTTTTCTTTTTTTTTTTTGCAATTTGAAGTTGTAAACGGATAAACAAACATTTACGTATGGAATACATAAATACAAAATGAAATTGCAAATATATTTTGGATAAAACAGACTTTTGTTAGTGTCTATGTAT